AGCCAAAGCTACAGGGGAAAGAGTGTATCCCGAGCTATTTCAAGAGGAGGGAAAGGATGAATGGGGGAATCCCAGCTCTTCTCTGTCGTTCCTCCTTTCCCTCATTTTGAACAAGATTGACACACGCTCTCTCCCCTGTAGCTTCGGCTGTACTGCAGAATTTTAGTGAGACGGAGTGTAGTCACTTCACGTCCTTTAAATCACAAGACCATAAATAAATTAATAAAAAGCAAGGCAATCTGTCACTGCACAAAATAAACATAAATAAAAAAAGAACACAAACACGCGGGATCAGAACTTATATCTGGAGGAATCGTACTTCAAATTAATATATACGACATATCTCTTATAATAAAAAGTGTCGCAAAAAATTTATCACGAGGCTCAACCCCCGACAAACAGCGCTGTGTGTGCCAGTCGTTCAACACGTCCGGAATCATACTTTACTAATATGTAGAACCTATAAGGCCAGTTTATAACCTAGCCAAATTTTTGTTCTGGTACAATATATCACGTGAGAGATGTAAAACGCAACCAATTCTTGCATTATGAAGAGATTAAAGGCGGCTCGATGGAGCCGCGTCCCACCGGAAGGTTTGCAGCTTCTGTTGCCTTCGTACACCCGCTCCGTGTCCCGTGCAGGCCCGCGGGGTCTCAGTGTCCGGCTGCCTGCGGTCACCGCGGGGCGGCAAGGCAAAGAAAGGGCACCGGATGGGCGGGGCTCGGCCCGAAGAAAAACAATGAACAGCCAAGGCTGCCCGCCCGGGCTTCGCGAGCGGCCGTCGAACGCAAAGCCGGCTGCCGCGCTCGGTTTAGTGACAAACACCCATCGTGCCGATTCGGGGCGGGTTGCTACCTGAGCTGTCTCCGCGCCAAGCTTTGCCTCAGTTACTTAAAGAACGTATCGATTCTTTCGTTCGTTTATTTGCAGGTTTTGTTTGTTAGCTACGCTAAACGATCTTGAAGCAACGCCGTCGCATGACTTTGTTGAAGGATGAAGTCTTAAAAACGTTGCATCTCTTCGGCCCTAAATGTCGTTTTGTTTAAAGTGTTGCCGTTCTTTGTCGTACCCAATGTCGACAGCTTATGCTGAGAAAAAATATCAAAAAGAAATATACGATAACCAAATGGTACCGTAGCACAGTCAATGCCAACAGCTCGTGCTTTGGAACACTCTTTTACGTGATCCGGAACAACAAAAAAAAACAAGAGCTTTCGACGCAAAATAGTCACATGTTTTACCCAAGTGAACATGAATGCACACTATAGTTGCATCAACAAGGTCAGACAAGATTTTTAGGAGCGCGAGTGATCGCTCCAAAAGACAATTCGAGGAGTCCCTATTGCAAAGGACGGAGGACCCAAGGACGTTGAAGGCGCGAAGGATATCTGAGTTCCGCAGCTGAAAGATCTCCATAATCTTTCGGGTGCAACCTCAACGTTGCTATGAGGAGCACTCCATCACGCCCAAGTGACCATCTGAACGCCGCCTTAAAAAGAAATTAAAAATATGCTAATTACTTAGTCTATAGGGTGTTTTGTTTCGAAGGGAGTGGGCGCCGGTATCGTAAGACTCGGCTACCACAATGTATTGGTAGCGGAGTATTGGTAGCGCTATATATTGGTAGCGCTTTAAAGACCATCTCTTGAACTGACTGAACCAAACATGCCGAACTCGCGGCGTGCGAGATGGAAGACGTATTTTCTACGAAGACCGTCGCATCCCAGAGCGCAAGGGATTACGTGAGCAGAAAGCTGTCGGGTTTGTTTAGTACGAAGAGTGAGGAACTCTTACGGGACCGGCACGCGTCCCTTTCGCTTTGCTTGGCGGCACGGCATCCCGTATGTCATCTCTCGCGCGTTGTTACGCGTGAGCGACGTTCCAAGAAACCATAGAAATAAGAAGTGTCGAAAGCGCAGTAATTGGCCTTGGCCCGCGCGCCGGCATCTGCCAGCCGACCTCCAACTTGCTTCTCCTCTGAGACGCTCTGACCTTCGCAGCGATCTGTGCGCTCGATCATTCGCCATTTTAGTTATTCTAAACATTCTGTGTTATGTGCATGCGTAGACAGCGAAAAGTTTGTCAGTCACAATTGGCGTCATGGTCTCTCCGCTAGATGCGAAGTTTTTCCAGTTCAGTAAAGGCCGGTTCACACATGCAGCGAAGCGCTAATGTAGCGCTTCTCACGTGTCGTCCGCTGCTAATTGTCTGCCATGAACAACAGTAATGACGGTGCGATACAAGGCTGGTGAACGCTCCCGTGAGCACGCGTTTAGCGCGAGGTCAGCGCTACACTTATAGCGCTCCGCTACATGTGTGAACAGGCCTTAACACAGCTAGCAGCAGGGTCTCCAACGTGCATCAAGCAGTTTGATTCCACGACCGCACGCCGGTACGAAGCTCAGCCAGGTTGAAACGGACTGGTCTGTGGATTTTACCCAGGATATTTGGGTTCTGCGGCGCGGTTTCTCGATCCACGTGCTCCGCGGTCACCGAACACCCCGATCACCCCTCAGAAATCACACGTTTGGGAATGTTTGGTAGTGAAAGTGCCTGCAACAACAACCCCCTATACGAGCCTCAGGCTTGAAAGCCTATACAAAGGGCGATACAACAATTTGTGTACGTTCAGTAAATACCCCATAAACTTATTCCTTGGTATTCATAACCTATAAAACACGCGTTATATTTGTTTCCACACGCAAAACCAGTCGCAAAAAAATATAGAGAAAAAACAAGTCCTGTTTCCTCCCTCAACTCGCTACCAGAAAAGTGGCCACGATATCTGGAGCCGATTATATGCCGCCAATGTTTATCATAGGCGCGAGCTGGGGTTGGCAACGCACAAAGCACGCGCTGAATTCCACACATTGTTGCACTGACCGCCATTCCCGTCATTGCAGCAATTGACCCGAATCAAGGAGGTTTTGACCCGAATGCATGTCGAGGCATTGATTATCAGGTGCTCAAATCGAATGCTCTAGCAGTGCTTGTGTCCATTGTATCAGGCGCATTTAAATATCGATACCGTGAGAATCGCACAGAATGTTGAAAAAATCCGTGAGATCGCATTGTTAATAAGGGACCGTGTGATTCCCACATCTTCGTCATCGTTTCGCAAAGTAGAAACTGAAAAAAACAAACAAAAAAACCCGCTTTTGTCTTTATAATTACGTGGCGAGAAAGAAACTTCTTGGTCAGTGGCGTTGCGCACGAGTATACTTGGGTCCCACTGGTGCTAGTAAGCTTATGTAAAATGAGAAACATTTTTCCACAATACCGTTGCACGCCCCTTTTAAGGATCGGTGGTAAGTCCGTGGAACGTGGACGTATTTTCATACCGAAAGCTCTGGAACCATGATTTCTCGGGTGGATTCCGACGGCACCGTCCGCGGCAGCCTCTCCGATGGAATCGAGACTGCTGGCCAGAAAGTTTGAAAAACCGAAGGGAGTGACACGCTCCGATTCGCCGCTGTGCGAGTCCCACGTCTCTATCGGACTGGAACAAAACCGGCATTCGAGAGCCAAGCGCACACATGTTATACGTTTGGCTACTTTCAGAGGTCTTTCAACTTGCTCGCAATAAAATAATCGTCTCAAAAACTAAATCTCTATAAAAAAATATAAAAAAATCGTCCGGTAAACCGTATAGGTGCATGTATGGTTTCGTAATTCGAGCGTATTTCATTTTCTTTTATTTATTTATCGCCACTATCAATTTAACTTTTTTTTTTTTAAATATGCGATAGTATTCTAGGCCTTGAAATCGTGCAAGCGTCCGTCCGTCGTGGCTCAATAAGTCAACTTAACGAGAAAACCTAAATTGGAGTATTTATACAGCAATTAAATATTTTCTGTAGATCTAGGTGAGCAAACTTTAATTGATCTATAATTATACCCCGATTCAATTTATTAATAATTCGTTCAAAAACGGCGCCGCGCTGAGGCGAAACCGCCTAGCTTGGGGACGTCTGAACAGGTGCAAGTGATCTCAAACACTATCGTATTACACTTTTATCACAAAAAAAAAATGTTTTTGTTGCATGAATACATAAAACGAAATTGCGTGTTTTTGTACCTCCCCCCTACACGTTCCCCGAAGAATTCCCGGGGTGTCCCCGTAGGGCTTCGCCAAAAATCAATCCGACACATCGCTGAAGACCGGTGAGGCGTCAAAGCCCAATCGCTTGCCCAAGTCTCACGTCAGATCGCGCTCCGCCGCTCCACCGACCAGGGCGCATTGTCCGTTCGCCTCCCGGGAGCGTCGAAGGGCGGCGGGCGTTGCCCCCTCCCGGTCCGCGTAACAGGTTACGCCGCTTCCGAAACGCAATCGAAAGGAATTGCGTACGGAAGTCTCGATCGCGGCCCGTCCCCGCGTATAAACAGTCGTCGCCGTTTGGGGACACGGCGGCGACATGCACAACGCCAATCGCCTTTCTCTTCGACGGCCCCATTCCGATCGACGGAAGTGCCGCACGCACGATTCGGTGGCGGCACCCGCACACGCACCCCGCACGGTACGAGAGCACGCAATCCCCCACCCGTTCGCGCCGCAACCTTCCACCAGGAGGCACCCCCAGGACCGAAAAGTGTTAGTGTGCCTGGATGTGAAAGTGTTTTTCTCAACTACGCGATCGGGATTTACGTGGTTCACGGTCCGCGTTCCGTACTGCTTTGATCGTCCGTAAGCGTCTCCGCTTCTACACCCGCTTTTCCCCCTCGCCACACTACGCATGCGCGGGAAGCGTCCCTCATTCAAGTGTGGCGGCGAGCGCTCTCTCCGCGGTTTGCGTTGGTCCCTCTCTTCAATCTAGGCTGCGTAGTGTATCGCTGGCCCACATCGGAGCTTACCGGTAAACTGGTTCCGCCGAGGAAGAGAAAGTAGCGGTATTTTTTTCTCTCGCGCCGCGCGTGCACCGCCTGCCAACCGCGCTGCGCCGAGCTGTCCGCGGTAACCGGCATCGCGCCAGTCGACGAACGCAGTGCGCGGCGACGGGAGGCATGGCACGCCGAGATCCCCGAAGTCTGACGCGCGTGAGACGGAGGTGAAGTCTGGGACGCCAGCTGATGCATCTCCGGAGGCCCCACGCCATGATTGTGGTCCTGGTGAGTGTGCATTTCATTCTCTTAGGTACGCGTCTCAGTTCGGATCGTGCAAAGCGTCCGATCTGGCACGCTGTATGCAGTCTGCTGATAGTTGGAAGAGCTGTTACTGAGGCGCTTTGTAAATAGCCAAACAGAAGTTGAGGGTATTGCGAGGAAGAGAAGAATGAGGTACTTAAAGGCAAGGACGGAGACAGCGGTTGGAAGGTCTGTACGTGCCCGCCCTTCTAGCTGTCCATTTCATTTTTTATAATTTCATCTTTCTTGTATCGAATCTTTGTATAGAACAGGCTCTTTACCAGTGCAGTGCCCGTTACCAAAAAATAAGTATAAGAATAAATGGCGTCCCTTTGTTTTCACAATCTATAGAATTACTGAGTTTCGTTACCGTCCTAGAAATATAACAGAATATCGTTACCTTTACTTTTAAAACATAGCGAATGTTACCTTTGAGTTACTTTATGCTTCAGTATTATGTGGCAGCGATAAGCCGCGGAAATGAACTTCGAGAACAATTAAACTTATACGAAGTAATTTTGTAGCGTTTATTCGGCCTTTGTGTCAAATTTGTAGAATACATTCTCCTCTTAATTCTGGTTGCATCAGTTTCGCCTTTTCTTGCTAATGGTTCAGTGACCTTCATGCGCGACCCTAAGGTTAAGCAATATGAGCCTTAGGTGTTAATAAAACACACTACTCGACCCATTCGCTTTCTAATCAGAAGGGCGTCAGGCCGGGAAAGGATAGCGAACAGAAAGCGCGCTTTAATAAAACACTGATCGCCGATGTTCCATTTTCCAAAGGAGCCTTCGTGTAGATTTCGCTGGGGCGAAGCTTTTTTAAAACCTTTAAGCAGCGACGTATTTTAGCGTTTCTGACGGATGTCTCTGAACGCGGGAGGTCTGTGTCTTTATGGCATGACTTTACAGGATTCGAATTAATTAGATTTCCATAGAAAACAACAAAAACGTATTAATCAAAAGTGACAAATAACGTTACCTCACAGACGATGCCGTAAAAGAGTAACAAAAATACTTTACTCGCTATCCATTCAGGACTACAACGAGTACGTTAGTGCGTTACTGAAAAAATTAACGCGTTACAAGTGCCGTATTTACTCGAGTTATAGCCGCACTGTTTATGAAGAAAGTCTGAGGACTTGCTAATCCACAGAGCACGCAGATTACCAATCACCGCGTTCGACAGCATGATTTCAGCTGTTTTCAGGACAGAGATAACGTCTTCGTGCGATGATACAATTTTTGAAGATTGAATTTTGTATGGAGAATCGTATTCTCGATTTGGTTATTCGCTATATTATTTACGTACAACGCAATGATTGGTTGTATATGTGTTCTGTGGGGAACGTAGACGCAAAAGCCTTGTTCATAAATAGTGCGGCTATTACTAGAGTAAATACGGTAACGTCGTTACCAACACTGCTCTTGACAACTTCACGGGTGCTCCCCAACTGAAAACTGTAAGATGTGCGGTTGCATGCTTCCCCTTATGGGGCTTCACTGAAATGACGTGTGAATTATTATTTAGGCTGTTCGCCGGGGGTTGCACTTCGCGATTGAAACGCAATGTACGCTGCACGTCACTGTTCGCACGAACATGACAGCGGCAGTTTATCGAATGTTCCGCGTATGAAAAAAGTATTGACCAGCGTCCACTTCAACAGGCTCATCACTAGTAATTCTCTATCACTAGTAATTTTGGATGACAGCCCTCCGTTTCCAAGGGAAAGATACGAAAATAAAACGATTGATTGTTCCCATTCACTGTGTCCCGCACTCTACATGGTGGGAAGCATTTCTTCGTTTTCCTGGTTTAATAAAACGGATGAACAACCGAACTGCGACGCCGACAGACTGCGCGCAAGACATCTTGAGATTCTTGTAAAGTGGTCGGTTTAGTCTTTACGGTTCAGCCTCTTCTAGGAACGAGTTCGACAAGCCCGCCGCAAGGGCTGCGTCAAGGTTGTTTACACTGCGTGCTCTGGAATTCTCGAGAGCCTTCAACTTCGTTTCCCTCCGCACCTGTTGTGAGGCAGCGTCGACGCGTGTATACGATCCGCAGAAATTGAGGAAAGCCGAGCGCGTTTTCCATGCCTGCATTTTCTCCTCGTTACCGCCAAATCGCGTTCGTGGGACTTTGCTCCGGGCAGCAATACGGGGAAGCTGGAAAGTGTGCGGCAGTGCGGACACCATCTTCCTCGCGTGGCCCACAACTCGAGCGTGACCAAGTCAGCGCGAACACGACATCGGTGTTTGGTTTCCCCGTTGTTCAGACACGCTAGTGATGAGCGCCAACATTTTCCGCTTTCGTTAGTGCCCCGAAGTCGAACGTTCACTTTCCACCATGTTAGTAGGTTTGATGAAGTCCTTTCAATTCTATGAGAAAAAATACCGAAACGAGCTCTGCAATTTCTTGTTAGCGCTTTCTACACTGCGCGACAGAGTGAACGTGACCACGGCGTTGTTGCTGCTTCGCGGCAGATTTATTTATACAGAATGGCATCGATAATTTATTCAATGTTTTATGTTATTTTCTTTTTTATCGAGAAAAATGGTAGTGGGGCAAAACGCTGCAGCAGGTGTCGGTTAACGAGATCCCAGGTTCAAGGTTCATAATACACCATAATAATCGAATCATCAAATCCGACTAAGCATCCACAATCAAGTCCGACTAAGTTAATGAGCTACAAAGAACATTTGTCTTCACTTGTAGTGTTGATGACAATCATTAAGTCGTGAAATACAGTTTAAGAAAGAACGGTCGATTCTGTCTTTGAGCTAAAAGCGTCGCCATCTGTATACATGAAGCTTGTTTATTTTGACGACTCGATGTTTTCTTCCGTCCCACGTTTATTGACAATTGGTTATGAAGAAAGTGTTCAGATCCTGCTCCATTTTAGTTTTTATCAAGGTAAAAAAAATGAAGCTCGCAGTTATTGCATTGACGACTCTTTAAAAAAAATTCTGATGCAAGACGAGCCACACTAGCTTGCCTGATATACACTGATTAGTGAAGACATTATAAACACCCCTACATTGTGAAAATGAGCGCGCCTAGGAGACGCGCCATCCGCGTTATCATATTCTGACGCAGAAGGTAGATAACGCTTGTCGAGCATACAAAGGGTACTTATGTCGACTATGTGTGCGTGTAATCAAATATGCTGCTGATTTAAGCGACTTTGACAAAGGGCAGATCGGGATGTCAAGATTACTGGTCACCAGTTCACCCATATGTGGCTTGTCTTTCCCACCAGAACTGGAGTCTTCCAACAAGACCATGTCCATGTCACAAAGCCAGAATTGCGTTAAAGTGACGTGAAGAGCATGATGATGAATTCCCGTTGTTGTCCTGGACACCTAACTAGTCAGATATCGAATCTCTTGAGCACATCCGGGATGTGATGGGGCGCCAGCTCAGAGCTCAAAAACTTTCCTCCTCGTAAGCTGCAGGAATGGTGCGCACTGTGCTTATTAGTCACGTACTTGCTTTTCAAGGCACTCACCAAGGACTTATACAATCTGTGCCCAGATGGGTTACAGCTGTTTTGCGTTCAAAAGGCGGATCAACAAGGCATTAGATGGGTGGTCATAATGTTTTTGGCTGATCAGTGTAAACCAAGCATCGAATTTCGACAGCACCCTCGTCTGCCGTATGACGTAAAGCCGGGGACACACTGCTCATCTATAATACAAAGGACAGTCTACCAACACGAGTCACCGCAATTTCCGTGGTTCGAATGCCGCGTGCCCAAGTTTCTCCTTGAACTCATTGCCATGCGGCATTCGAAGCAAGGATCCCGCGGTGACTCGCATTCGAATCTATTTTGCAAACTGTTGTTTGTATGATGCATAAGCAGTGCAACCCCGGCTTAAAAGCTTCGATGCTCTCTGCATTGTGTGTGGTGGTTTGGAGCCTATGCCTCTGTGCAATACACATTTCCAGAAAATACCAGGAGAATGCAGGAGAAGCGAGAATGCAGCGGCACGATGCATTCTCGCTTGTCCTTTGAAGCTGTTGTTGTTGTTGTTTATTTTGAAATAAAGAAAATAAATATAGTGAAAAGGAAGGAAACGGAAACGCGTTCAGAAAGCACGAGAAGTAAAGCAAAGACAAGAAAGGTACTTGCATTTTGTTTTCTACTGCCTTGTCTGCGTCTTGAAAGCACAAAGTGTTAGACCAACGTCAATTCCATCTTTAATTTCTGGATAATCTCGCGTGCCGTGCATACAAACGTCATAGCGCGTCTATTAGTCTATTAGAGTGCTCAGAGAAACTCTCGATCGGAGATACACTTTCTGTGGCATTTCAAAAGATGTGAAGATTGCGCGTGCGCAGCGCTGACCACCGCTCAAGCTACTCGACTGCATAGCCATAGAAAGTTGGCCCCAAATATAACACGACCGTGCACAAAGAACAGGTGGCAGTATAGCACAAAGCGACACGACGCATTCATTAGCGCGTTAGTGAATGCGTGCACGAAGCGCCGAACCGGACTGCCCCGCGTCCATTGTCCAGTCGCGAATACCCCCCGCATGCTGGGGCGAACCTTGTCGACTTCTTGTTGCAACCTAGAATTCTTTACACTTTTCCTCGTACGACGGCGCCTTAGCTTCGCGCGTGCGAACTTACTTAAGCGGCTGCCTTTTTTTTTCCTTTCAAAGACGATTGTTCCAGCAAGGAGAACAGACGATGCAAATTGTCGTCTGCTGTTAACTGGCATTCTACATGGGTGGGCATCTTTTCACGATATGCACGAGTCCTTCTGTAACCTAGGTAGAACCGGAGCGGTTTCAAAGGGCATGTAATATTGCGGCATGCTTGCAAAACGTCATCATCTGTATTCACGGGGCGCCCTCAAAGCACATCTGTACCTGTAGACTAGTAATTACATCATTGGCTTAAACGATCACGTGGTGGGTGGTACTCCCGCCAGTAAACACTCGGTATTAATGGACCGCACTTAGAACCTGTAGTCCCTG